GCAATGGTACAATATTTGAACCAAAAAAATGAAAGAGCCCATCCTCTATAAAATGTCTCTCTCAAAATAGTGTGTCAGCATAATGCGACAAAAACATAAAGTATCACGCGTGCCTACTTATGTTTCCTTTTCCTCACCCCTTTTCCCCATCCTACCCACACACACCTTCCTCAACCACTATACTAGGAGTATTTTATTCGGAGAGAAACATTGCGTCAATTATTAAAATACTTTTTTATTTTTAATTCATTTTACGAAAAATTCTTTTTGTATTATTTATTTTAATTTTTTTTACTAATAATCTCATCTTCTTATAAGAATTTCAAAACACTAGCTAAGTCAGAGTATAGGAATATTTTTAATGTTGTCGATCAATCGTACAAGGTGAAACTAACACGAAATTACTAAATACGAAAATTGTTGTTAAATTTAGGAGTGTTTGTATAGATTTTTTATCGAATAGTTTCATGCTACTGAGACAACTAATTATATAATTTATGTGATGGGTAATTAAGTTAGTCAAATAAATAGAAGAAGTATTCTTAATAGTACATATTTTGATAAATATATGCATTATTATGAAGTAAAAGGGCCAATTATATAAGTACGATTGGATACAGGGAAGAGGTGAAGGAAATGTTGGGAGGGGAGGTAACGGAAGGGCGTCGTCATCTTCAAACAACGAGACAATGACGGTAACAGAGCACCAAGTAGCTAAATTAATGGAGGAAGATATGGGATCGGCTATGCAGTATCTGCAAGGAAAAGGCTTATGCTTAATGCCTATATCCTTAGCTACAGCCATTTCCACTTCCACCACCAGAATCTCTAACAACCCACTACTTGCCCCCGAAGCCGGTGGCTCAACTTCTCCTACCCTATCGGCTTTGACTGTCCAGTCAGCCACCGCCGGAAAAGACGCCACTTCTCTATCGGAAACTTAAAACTCTCAAATCTGTTAACACCTTAACGGTAAAAACCACCTCTACCAAAATAAGGTTCACAAGACAGAAACATAAACGACGCAGTTTTCGGGTAGAGTTGTTTTAAGTAAAAGCTAACAAAAGGAACTCTCATGTTACTTTTTAGTTAATATGATCATCTTCTTTTTTTTTAAATGTTCCTATTTTAATTAACTACTTGGTCTAAGTACTTTTACTTGGAATAGTATTATATATATGTAATCATGATGTTTTGATGATATAGTGGATGTTTATGAATAAATTAAATTGATACAAACCGAGAAAAAAAATGAATTATTTATATTACTCAGTTTAAATTTGAATTTTCTTTTTGTGAATTAAAATATACGCTATATATTTAGAAATTATATAAAAAAAAATGCTATTAATCACAAAAATTGAAAAAAAAAAAAAGCATATAAAGTGATTAACTTTTTTTTTAATTATATCACATAAAGTGGAATTGATAGACTAGTATCTTAGTTTTTGTTGAGCTGAAGATGTATTGAATTCTCTGTCCACGAAAAGTCTTGGATAAATTTTATGAATCTATTATTTCTCATATTTCACATATATAATTAAATTGGATAAGTTATTATTCTTGAAAAAAGATGAGTTAATTTACATTAATAAAGGAAGGGGAAAATAGGATTTTGATTCTTTCACATTTCAAGGAAAAGGGTTGACAGCTTTGAGGTGTTTGCTTTATCCCTTCTCATTATTTTAGTAGTAATTTTTTCTGTCTTTAGTACTTTTTTGGGGGAATTAGATTGCTTTGTTTTGTGGTATTCTATTGAATTATTTACCATAATTTCTGTTAATATATATGTATTTTTCATAATAAATCTCAATTAAATAATAGGCCCTCCTTTGACTTTAGAAAAAGAATTAATTCCACTTTAAACTGGCCTTCTTTTGCTTTTGTTGGAACAAAAAGAAAAAAGAGGAGTTAGTTTTTGTGTAAAAGCCATTATATTATATTGAAGAAATATGGAGTTTTGGAATTTGTTGATGTTTTTCCTTTGGAGGGAAGAAGTCAAGGAACTTTACTTTCTTTTCAAGCTAAAGTAGTAATTTTTTAACATTATTATAAAGTAAGATAAAATGAATAGGATTTTTTTTTTCACTTTTTCCTTTAGGGATTTTGACAAAGAGAATTCAAATTAATTAGACCTTTAGGGATTTTGGCAAAGAGAATTCAAATTAATTAGACCTTCAAAATGTATATAGGACGGTAATAATAATAGGTTCAGTGTAATTTTAAAGTGCGATTGATTGACCAGAAAAAATAGATAAATATGAAACTTACTTCTATCTTTGAGACACGTAAATTAGTTTTGAAACCGTAAAAAAAAATTATTGTACTATTACCACAAAATGACATTGGAAACTAGACAAATTTGTCTACGTGCGCTACTTTAATTCCACAATGGAATATGAATTGGACAAATATATGATTCCAAATATAATAGACTTGTTATTTTGTCTAAATTATAGATCCAAAGTAGTTGAGAAATATATAGTCAAATTTCAACAAGTCTTTTAGTCAACAAATATGATAACTTAATCACTTCAACAAATAAGTCTTTGGCTTATTTACTCACTCTTTTAGTTTCAAATGACTAATAATTGAGAAATATGATTTGACATATTTGAATTTTCTTGTTTCTATTAGGGTAGTTGGTGATAAATTACAAAAACAAAATTCCACTACTCACCAACTAATTAATTTAAATTAAAGAAAATATGAAACACACTCATTTTTCTCATACTTTTTCTTTTATTAAGTTATGAAAAGTTATTTTACACTTTTTAGTCCCTCAAATATTATAAGATATTGACTTTGGTTTATGTTCCCGTTATAAAGATAATGGTTTGAGTTTCAAAGACATTTTATTTTATATAGAAATCCTTATGTGATAATTTAGATATTTGGATGCACGTTCACATAAAGAGTTTGGTAATAGTTACCAAAACTAGGATAATGACATGCTACACACAAACTTTTTATCATTAAAAATATATATAACATGCTATTTATGTAATTCTAAATATATTTTACTCAACATATATAAAATTTTAAATTTGTCTAATACCTAAAAAATTTTCAAATTAATGTTCCTATTAAGTCAACTAGGACACGATGGCACCTCAAGAATAGTCATCTGCCTAAAAGAAAGTCGATTGGTATATAATATACATGACTAGTTTATAATAATATATGTATATTGGCTAGCAATTATAAATATTTTTGACTGAGTTGTCAATGATATAACTTTTCCAAAAATTTATGGCACTAGCCATCAATTTTTGAGCTAGAAATTTGCTTTGACAAAGTAATGTAAAACCAACAAAGGGAAGTGTCATTGACTCTTAAATGGTAGAAGTCAAATAAAATTCAATGCAAAGATTATTCAACTTGTATCTTTGAGGTGGAAAAATTCACAAATAGGTATTTTTAGTCTCTACAATCAAAAAATGGTCACTATCACCAAATTTCAGAATCCATAATGGAAATTAACCTCCATAGATATTTTACGAGTTTTTGCAATTTTAAGATTGTGACTATTTTAAAAAACAAAATCAAAAAGTTATCAACCACCACTATTTTTACTTTTAAAACTCCGACCCCAAACCTCACCAAGAAAAATGTAATTACTATAATTTATGAGCTAGAATATGATAATGTTAAAACTTCTTTGTAATTAATCTTCTGGACCTGAGTATCTATCAAAAATAGACTTCATCTTCATCTTATAAGCGTAAGGCATGTATATATACTATTCTTTAAAAATTCCACTCATGAAATTACAATTGTAGTTGTAGTTGTTGTTGTATAATTTATGGTAATTGCATCCATCGAGTCTTTGGCTAACTAAGCAAATATGACTTATTTGGACTATTGCCATCATGTTTTAGTTGTTGACAACTCAGTGTAGACACGGTTTTGACCTTTGTTTTTGTTACAATCATTCTCAAGAAAAAAACTAAGTCCAAAATTTCAACATCAAAGATATTAGATTTTTTTTTTCTAAATAGTATAATTATTTTAAAGTAAAACTGTCTTAATCTGTGGGTTAAGCATTGTGTTTAGGCTAAATATTTTTAAGGGTAAATATTTGGTGTTATGTTACTGGATGGAAAGGGAAAGCCACTAACCAAAAAAACTAATTATATTACAATTTAATGTGTAATTTTTATTCCAACTTGACTTAATAAATTACTAACACAACCAAAAATTTAAGAAAAAAGTTGACTAGTACATATACCAACTTTTGTTTTAACCTTTCTTGTTAAGTCAAAAAAGACAGGCAACTAATTAAAATTTTAATTAAGTATTAACAAAGGACTCTTCCCTAAATTAAATAACTTTCCATCCTTTGTACTTAAATGAATCATTGACTTATTTTTTAGATTTACATTTTTGCACCAATTTAATTGAAATTATACCACTGTAATCAAATTCACTAAACAAAGATTTGCCAATGCAAGGTTTAACTAATTTAATAAGATAGGTAGTTTTCTTTTAATCATGGTGTCTGGGGCATACCATAATCCAAAAGAAACAGCTAAATTACTTAATGTTTTTATGAATACTGCATGGGAATCTGAAAGTTCTTCTAGAACTAGCTAGACATATATCGGAAACAACCTCTCTACCTCATAAAGGTAGGGGTAAGGTCTATATATATCTCATTGTTCCCGTTCCCCACTACACTGTGTATGTTGTAACTAGCTAAGCATACCAAATTCTAGTTAGTTTCTGGTTTTCAATGCTTAACATTTGATTTCTGTTGAAGCGTCCCCCTGTTTCAACAAGCCACACAGCACTCATGTAACTCTGTTAACAGTTCCTATGGTACAGTCACGTACTCTCCCTGGTCTCGGGGATCGTACCTTTGTTCACTATGGCAATACTAACACACCCTCATACATAAATGAGAGAGATGGAATGATGGATAAAATGAATGTAGTCCGTCTGGAAAGCTTAAACTCAAGGGGACTTGGGAGATATTGCTGTAGTTAAATGGAATTTAGAACTAAAACACTAATTATATTAGATGCAACATCGATGAGAATGATAATCTTGTCAAACAACTTACAACTTCAAAATACACAATTCATTGCTCCTCAACTACCAATTTTACTCTTTACAACTACTGTCTACTTATGAAGATATTGAAAGATCCCAACACTTACAACTGCAAACTTAACCAAAACAAGTATTGAGAACAACCACTTGTCAAATATCCAAAGTATTCAAAAAATTGTCATCAACAAGAACAGGGGGGTTTGAATATATAAGGCTGTGGAAGTGACAACGGACCTCTCCTCGACTCATTATCATCCAAATGTCTCTGAACTTTCTTCTTAGAACAGTACTGCCTATCAAAATGCTTCACCTATCATACAAGAAAAAACATAATACTAATTAACAAAGTTAATATGTCTATCAACATTCAAACAAAGTCTTCCAAAAAACTATGCTAAAACCGAACAATTCAATCAACCAATCCATTACGCCTCAATCCCGAACTAGTTGGACTAGACTAACTGAATTGTTCATATCTATCTATCTAGTTCATTCCAATACAAATTGAAACAAAGTATATTAGATAAAAAAGAACTCACCCAAGTAGGTCTGCATTGATTCACATATTCCTGCCTAGTTTTGTTGCAATCCACTGGGTATAACAGCCCAACAGTCCCGATTTCTGTAGGCTTCTTGTCTGATTTATTCACCAGGCATGAGTAGAACGCATCTCTCGCCTTCAAACCAAAAATTCACAGCCTTGTATTAGCTTAGCTTACTCAAACATTGATATCATTCATATAAACATCAACCTATAACTAAAAAATTAATACAGCAGGTCCAACAAAACCCACTCTATATCACTCATACACCTTTCTAACTTGATAGGATCGAATCACACACACTTGATGAATTAAGAACAAAAGAACTTTTTCAACGGTGATATATAACACTACATCAAATATTAATCACGCTCCACAAACTAACATTTTCTATTAGCTTAATGTATCAAAATTGATAAGAATAATTTCTAGTGATTTCAGCTTGAAATTACATACACAAACACATATAAGTATTCCAAAATATATATGTTGTTTACATAATTTTAAAAAATTATGAAAAAAATTGAGAGAAAATAAATGTACCTGGTAGCAAGAGATTCGAGCTTTGCTGAGAACATCGGTGTGAATTTCGTCACTGATTTGTGATGTATACCCTTCCATCGCCATTGTTAAACTCAAATTCTCAAGGAAGGAAAATATTTTATTAAACCCAAAACCTTTTTGAACATATCTTATTTATAATGTAAGTTAAACTGTTATTTTAAAAACAAATCCTAACTAAACATAAATTAAATAAATATTAAATATAAATTCTAAATTACTTCAACTTGAAATTATTATTTAGATATTGAATAACTAGATAATAAATTTCCATTTAACATTGAATACAGAGCTTTTTTTTTTTCTTGAGGAACAAGTTTTTTTGTTTTTGTTTTTTTTTTAAACTTGAAGAACAAGCTGGAAGGTGGATTAGAAGCTATACAGGCTTATTAACTGGGCTGGATCATTAAAAGCTTAATGGGCCTATGTAGGTGGGCTGTAATTGGTTGAAACTCTTTTGGCCCAAACATATAATTGAAGACAAACTAGTATTTGCATTTGTTTGCATCAAGAATATTTTTGCAAACCAGTTAAGATGTTGTCTCCAGATTTAAACGTTAAATGATAAAGATAACTTATTTATCAACATAAATGTGTATAGGTTATTTATTGTTAAACATAATAAATATATAATTCAAATAAAAAAGTAATTAAATATTACAAGATATATAATTTAATAAAATGAAATTTATGTTTGATTTAAAACAAAAATTATGCTTAGTAGTGATAGAAGAGATGAATTGTAGCGGTGATGATTGATGTTAGTGGATAATAATAGTGGTAGTGATAACTGCGATATACTGAAAGTGAATGGTGTTTTACTGACTGACCTGATCGTAACAAGTTGTGGTGATAGAATTGATTGATGTTAATAGTTGACTGTGTGGCTGAAGAATGTGTGTTGATTGATGATGCAGTTGGGGGCAGAACTCGATATGATGGTAGATATGATTGGTAGTAAGGATTAGTTTCAACGGTTGTATTGGCTAGTAATGATGGTGGTGGATATAGTAATAATGATGGAGGTGATAATGTGGTAGCGATTGACAGTAGCAACGGTGGTGATTGGTGGTTGGCAACAATGATGATAGTTGTGCTGCAAGATATAATTCATGGTGACAATTGGACGTAATAATAGTGAAAATTATCCACATAATATAAATAAATACATTTAATAAACTAAAATTTAAATCATTAATTTTCTAATCTTGGTTAAGTTCAAATAAATAAAGTCCAAAAATATGTAGTTGTACACTAGTACTTCATGATAATCTATTTATTTATTTATTTCATTTCCAAAAATGGACAAAAGCATACATCCTTTTCATGGGCTGCTAAATATATACTCACCAATATAAGTTTCACTCCATATAATATGTTGGTGGAAATCGTACAATTGTAAGCACATTTTGTTCATTTTATTGGATTTGTGGGTGTTACCATGGGTTCATTTGACTTTTAAGTCTTTGGTTGAATATTATCCATTTTAATTGCTTTAATTTCTTAAACACAAAGTTTAAGTAAGAGAAATTTGATTATTATTACTATCATTATAAAATGTTATTTTTTGAAATGTCTGTTGTAAAACAGTGTGGAAGTATATATAGCATCATAATAAAATACACTAAAATTTGTTCACTTTGTTGTAATAGACTTGATAATAATACTTTTCATGGGTGCTAGTACTATAGTTGAGTTTTTTTTTATGTGTTAATAGGTGGTGACAATTCTTTTGTCTTATGAGTTTTTGTTTAATATTATTCGTTTTAATTTTAAGAAGCATATGAATTTAAATAAGTAAGAGATATTTCATCACTATAATAAAATATTTTATAGAGATTGTTTGTTATAAATAAATTTAATGGTATATACAGACATAACAAAGCACGCTTATTTGATAACAAAACTCTTTATGAGTGCTATAATTGATTTCATTTTGATTATTAGAATTTATAGGGGTAAAATGTTGAATGTCAATAAATCGTGATAACAAAGTCACCTACCATTTATAATACTGTATTCTATTTTAGAATCATTTACAAACGACTTTTTTATTAGTGAACTCGAGAAAAAATGCACTTCAAAGCATTACTAACTTGAATTACCTTTTCTTTTCTTTCTTATACACGCCTTTTATATTTTAAAATTTTTGTGAAAATTCTAATTCCGTAAATAAATTTTTTGGCCAAAAAGTCTTGCTTAAAATGTTCAGAATCTTTCGTAACATCTCCCCTATAGTAATCAAGTTAAATCACAATTCCACATCAGCCTTTATTTTTATTTCATAATTATGTTTTCATTGACCTTTTACTTCATAGACTTTCATATCCAATTTTATTTTATTTTATTTTTTGGTTATTAATTAATTTTTTCAATGTTGATATGATTTGGCATTTGACACATTCTAAAAGCTCATTCCACAATGTACTGCTGAATGATGATGTTTAATTTGAAGACAATTCTTGTTTGTTTGGCCATTATTTGACAATTATCTCATGACAACGATAAGTTTTTTTATATAAGGAAAACTTTTCATTAAAAGAGAATTATAAAATTTTTATATTTAATTCAATTTTAAAATATATCATGTAAATAGTCTGTTGATACATACGCACGCATAAACATACATTCATATGAATAAATTAGTTTAGGAGATTTACAAAATAATAGTGTCATGTGGACCCATTCCAACTAAATATAACATACTATATACAATTGTTAAACAAAACTCAGTAAAAATGGTTAAACACACTAACGTATAAGCATTCCAAAACTATGTAATATTTATATTACATAAATCACTACCTCAATCCGAGAGATTTAAAAGAAAAAAACTATTAAACAAATCTTTCAATTTACCAATAAAAAGGTGTGAAAATACTTATAATATTTTATTTTAAAAAATTCCTCGAGGGTGGAGCAAATTACTAATCTCTTGATTACTGCACTAGCCTGGTTTCAAGGAGCCTATATTAATCACTAATCACTCTTTCCTTGGATTAAGTTTGTTAATTTTCACTTTTAACAATTTTTAATTCAGAAAAGGCAAACGCATGCCCCCTCCATTTTCATAATAGTACAAAACATTAGTAAATTTTAGAAATTTAATTATAAATATTTGAAGCTCATAAAGTTAGAAATTTTAGTTCACTCTGTACAAAAATATAGTATATCAAAGATGTATGAGATAAAATAAGTCTTGTATAGATATACGAATGATATGGCGATACGTGATGAAAATATCAATTTATAATTGTAATCAAGAAATATTCAACAAATTCTTCGAGGATTGAACACAGAGGGTAGCAATAAAGTTTAATTCAGATAATGAGGAGTAAAGGTAAGATTACCTTTAACTAATCTGTGAATTTAAATTAGTTGAACTCGTGATAAAATAATATAATACTAACATGGTATATTTATAAGTAATGAGCCAAAAAAAAAACTAGAAATATTAGTCAAAAATTTAAAACGATTAACAAAATTGAGTCGATAACCAAAAAGATAAAATTTAGAAATTTAACAAACGCGATATATTTACGGTGTCTCCCATTGAATCACGCAGCCCTATTGGTGTGGTCCAAATCCCATTGACAATTTCCATGTGGGTGGTCCCACTTCTGATCCAACGGTCAGGACTCATCCACAACAGTCAAATCAAACTAACGAATACCAAGTCAATTTATATAGATTAGGCTTTGTTTGGATCAAGAAATTTTAAAAAATCAATAATAAAATAAATGAAAATATCTAAATAACTAGTTTTGTGGTTGGAATGTACTTACTCATTGTTATAATAAAACTAATGTATGTCTGCTTGGTCGTATTCAAATCAATCAAATTATAATATAATATTGGATATTGAAAAATCAGAAAAAATTATTTAGTTGGTTGCATTGAAAAATAAATAATAATTAATACAATGTTTTATATAATATTATTAGATTATACTCATATTAAATTATAAATAAATATTTACTCTCTACGTTACAATTTATGTTAGTGAATTTTGGAGTATGAGAATCACATTAAATACTCAATTTTAATTACAAATTTGTGTATAAATTCTTTAAATATTTTAAAATAAAATTTATAAATTTGATATCTATATAAAAAATACTTTAAATCAACATAATTAAGAAGTTTGACAAAATAAGTCTTTTAAATATTAATATCTCACTAATAATGAGATGGAGCAAATATCATTTCAATCAAAAAGTTGAAAGATGAATACAATCATCTTCCCATTTTAATTTGTGCAATAAAATTTGTATACTCGAATTAAGTTTGGACATAAATTTAAAAATTTTGTACTTATAAATTTTAATTTTAAATACTCATACATTATCTTCTTAAAATCCTAAATCAAATATAATTATTTATGTGAACCACAAAAGCTTAGTACTATTAGTCCACGTAGCCCAATTATTAGAAAAGGACAACCCAACCAACCAATTTACCCCACAAAGCCACTACGCAAAAAATGTTCTCCAGGCACTAGCTCTAGCCAGGGCAGATGTAGTAAGAAAGCCGTAAATTTAATAACTTTTATATTGTTATATAATTAAAATTATTATATTATATTTTTTATTCTAAAGTAATTATAATAGTTAATTTAATTAATTTTTAAAATTAAATTAAAACATATTTTAACAAAAGTACTATAATTTAATTTTTTTTCATACTAATATAATGAAAAAAACATATAAAAATGATGTAGGTCAAAGTTCATTAATGCAACAAATTCGTCTTTCATCATTACCTTTGATTTTGTAAAAATGAAAAAACCGAATGCAATTAGTCATCATAATTTATAGATATCAGAATATAATTTTTTTTTGAGTTTTTAATCATCAAAAAAGTACATTTTGAAAGATATTTAGATAAAATATTAAATTTTATCGAATTCGTAAAGTTGATGCTTATGTCACTCTATAGTTGATTTCTTGGAAGATGTTTTAGGGTTTGTGTTTTTATTCTTTTCTATAAAAAGAGTTGTGTCTTTGATTTCAGATCTGACTATTTTCTTGTTGGTGTGTGTGAAGTGAAGAGAAAGGAAGGAGGAGGGGGGAACACAGAGAATCAAGACTGACAGAAGAGAGTGAGCACACGATGTCAAATTGTATAAATATATATACAATTGTCATTTGCGTGTGCTCACTTCTCATTCTGTCAGAATCTAAGTTTCTCCTTCTCCTTCTTTTTATGCTTTTACCACCTATTCGAGATATAACAGATGTTGAATTCTCTCGTAACATGACACTTGTTGAAGCAGCATAAATGTAAGGACATTTGTGATTTTATCTTTAAAATTTATGTTTTTATTTTAGTATATCTAAGCTATAGATAGACTGATGGACATGACATTTCAGCATACACACCCACAAAATAGATAAAGATAATAGATATATTCTTTTTACTTTCAAAAAGCGAATTCACAATTTGAAGTTTACAGATTTCTACAATAATCTTAAGCTATTGCTATAAAAAAAAATAATCACATTCAAAATTAAATATTTAGTAAACTTCTTAATATATACACAAGATTTAATGAATTCACGTGAACTTGTACATGAAATTCTATATTTGTTGTTGTTGGTGGTTTTGGTTATTAGACAGAAAAGAAGAAGAAGTTTATCATCAGATGAGGTAAAGAGTTTTACTCTTCTTTTTTTATTTTATAGATAATAAATAAATAAATCTCATAATTATGTAATTAAATATTGTACTAAGCATGTCTTTTCATGTACTTATTAGAGGACAATTGTAGATATGGGAGGTACATCTCTTCCTGTTCTGTCCTTTTTTTTGTACAAATCTGGTAAATTTTTTGCAAAAATCTAGAAATCAATCACTATTCTAGATATCTATTAACAGCTTTTTCATCATGCACAATTAACTTTATTGATCTATTTCTTGATTTTGTTCTTAAAATTTCTTGATTTATTTTGATTCTAGGAATCCCACATAGGTGGTTGATTCATGAGTTTCTTTATATGTTTTCGGGCAATCCTTCCCTTGAGCTTGTTCTTTGATGAATTCGACTAGTTTATTTAACATGGTGTCAGAGTCAGGTCCACGCATCCGGTATCAAACACATGGATCATGTCGAGGCGTGCTGAGTGATGAATGGATGAAGAAATCCCTAATTTTCCCAGCAGGTATTTTGAATTATTTTTCCTCATTTTGTTAGTTGTCTTGATGGTTTGAGTTTTAGTTATGCTATTAGAATGTTAACATTAGGTTTGGGAATTAATTTTATTGAAGTCTTTCAGTCTTGTAAGAGATTTGTATGATGGTAGAAAATATATTAACTCTTGTTTTTGTTTTTCATATAATGTTGGACTAAGATTAACTTAAACAAAGCCATTACCTAATTCATATTACCGATCCTAATTTATGTAGGTATGGATCGAAACATTGTTGATGTTGTAGTATAGTTTTCTTTGTCATCACTTATCCCTAGCTTGTGAAAGTAGAGATACTTTTTTTTTTAGATCCTTGACTCAAGTAAAACATATCAAAATCAAATATGAATATGAAATATATTAGTAGTACTGAAGAAGTCATGCTGAAAATAATTGAAAAGAGAACGAACAGTAGCAAAATGTTGTTACTATAGCTTATGATAGTAAAAAATTTTATTCACTACCAATCTATTGGAGAACATGTTAAATCTATAGGACTTAGGAGTACATTTTTGTGAGGACTTAGTGTATTTAGCGTAGCAACTTGATGGATGGTATGTATAGCCGACTTCAATTTGTTTGGTACTGAAGTTCAATTATTGTTGTTGAAGATTGAGAAGTAGTAATATTTGTTATATGTCTGAATAATGTTAATGTTATCCTTCAGTACATAATATAACTTGATGTGTTTGTGGTTATGATATAATTTTTCTCCTATTATTGTTTGGGACCTCGATTGACTTGTTTGAGACTGATGCATAGACGTTGTTGTTCTCTTCTCTTGCTTGTACATTTAGAATCTCAATGTGAATTTGAGTGCAAATCTACATCCAGTTGTTAGCATGGCTTGCTTGGGATGATCAAATGGTGAAGTAAAAGGATATATTTCATTGCGCGTTGATTCAAATATGACAAGGTTAATATTCAACCGTTAATCCTTATTATGGATTGGACTGGGATTTTTCGAAAACAGTCTTTCTTTTTTCTACATTTGAAAAGTAGGGATGAGTTTTGATGTAGTACTCTACCTTCTAGAGACCCAATTCCCACCTTGTGCTCAGAGACTGCATTAGAGTCCTGACTAAATTTAGATCAATCATTGCAGGGCTCATTTGGAGTGGTGCTCCCAAGAGGATTTTCTCCATATCCCGGGTTCGAACCCGACTGAGACTTCTGGTATTGTTGTTGTTGTTGTTGTAATGTTGGTGGTTGATTGAACCAACTTCCATTGCTTGAAACTTTTAAAAATTTTTTTGTTAACAACCTTAACTTTGAACAAGATATTTGTAATGCGATGGTCATTGGTTCGATTTTGATAACGTCTTTCTTTAGGTCATAAAAAGGGTTTTCTAGAGATTCCTAATGACCAATCCTCACACGAGTTGCTAAGGTGACAATAACACCTGAACTTTATAATGATAGAAGACAAGAACATTACTTTTGGGCCGAGTCTCATTAATTTATTATAACGATATCGTGGAAATGTTGCACGGACGCAACTAATCACCTTTCAACGTATGTAAGGGGTTCAAAAATTACATATTTGATTGATACCTAGTAATGGTTGCATTTTTATACATGAGTGCATTTGTGATCTTGCTAGACCTATATTCTCTTTATTGACCATATTCAAATAGAAGCAGATGACAACGGATGCCCAATAGAATCTACGAGTTTGGTCAAACTCGATAACTTTGTATCAAAGTTAGTATATGTATAATAAGATAAATAAAAAGAATAGTAGGTTTTTAAATGTGAAAATTGGTGTGCACTATTTGAACAATAGAAATTAGAATTTCGAAAACATCAGGTTGAATTAAGGGTGTGCACTATTTGAATTAAACCGAATAAACTAAACCAAATCATACCAAATTCTAATAAGGATTGGTTTTTTGGATTCTTGGTTTGGTTTTGGATTTATGATTTACTTTGTTTGGTTTTTTGGGTTGATTTTGGATTTAGAATAATAAAAATTTGAAAAATCGAAAAACCGAATTATATATATATATATATATATATATAAGAATTGCAAATATAACTATGTTATGTTTCTAATCATTGACATAACCGATTAACCAAACCGAAAAAACCCAAACCAAAAAGAGAAAAATCAAACTAAACCAAATTTATTTTGGTTTGGATTGGGTTACACTTCTTCAAAATCAAAAATTGAAAACCGAAACCAAATACACCTGATGAACAACATAGATTATCATGTTTATTTTGTAGGATTTTTAAATTTTAATGGCAAAGTAGGTTGAATTTAGATAATACAAAGTTATGTGAATTTAGCTAAATTTGATAAACAATTGAACAAATGTTCTTCACTAGACTCAAAAAGATTATTCTTACACAAATATCAAAAGCAAGGACAATTTAAATACCATATTCCTCATAAATTTGACCCATGGCCAAAAATAATTTTACTACTGACTAATATAAAGATTATTATTTCGATGGACGATTATTCTATAATAGTTTGTTCTGTTAAGTGAAATAAGAAGGTCAGCCCATTAAGGTGAAGTCCATAAGCAGATGGGCTTTGCTCAGATGGAACCAAAAGAGAAAACAGCAGCCCAGGCCCATGCTAAAAGAAACAGAATAAGCTATTTCTCCCTCATCGTCTATATAAAGAATCTTTATTTTCTTAATATAGCTAAACATTAACATGCATGCTTGTCCCTTTGGGGACATCCGATAAAATTGGAACGATACAGAGAAGATTAGCATGGCCCCTGCGCAAGGATGACACGCACAAATCGAGAAATGGTCCAAATTTTTTTCTTTTCAAATGAGCTAATTTTTTTTGTGTGCAATCTCAGGCTCTAAAAATGTTCTTTTTCCCACTTCACTCGATCAGTTGTGTTCTTACTTAAACTTCAACGTGATTCAAACCCTCAACTTATAGGTTGATAGTTACAGGTGCTCAATTGCTAAAGAAAACCACTCTCGTATATGTGTTTTACTAATCGAGCAAAATAATCAGCTAAATCGAGAATTTCTTCTTTTGAGATAAGTTCTGAAATGCATGGAGTTTCTCCTAGAAATGCTCGCTTGTAGAGTATGCAATCTCGAGGATCCAAACTCTCCATTGCAACCAATCTTCTTTTGGATCAAGGTCACACATAACCCTCTAAATATCGACCTTGACCTCGAATAGGTTTTTAATTCCAATAAAATATGTTATATGACCTTAACATAAGAGGTGCGAAAAATAAATAATGAGTCGAACCCGGGTCTATTGCTTGGAAGGCAACTATCCTAACCGTTGGACTACAAACGCCTTGTTGTGTACTTTATAGTTTGTTTTACAAATTTTTCCCCTATGAAACATATTTTATCATTAAATATGATAATGTCAACATTCACATCTTATATGTTTGTGTCTAAAACACCACAATTTACCAGAAAAAGAAAAGTATATGTTTGTGTCCGATTTCGCTTGCATGCACCTTCGAGTCATTAGTTATCTTCCTCCAACATCAGTATCGGGTAACTTTATTCATCGAGGGTTGAACAAATGAAAATTAGTCATCTAATAATGTTGTCGTTTTTATTGGAGTTTAAACCTAAGATCTTTTGATTCTCAATTCATTTCACTAACACATTTGTACATCAATGCATTAACAAAACAAAATATAAAGCAACTTATTTTTTTCTCTTTCTCCAAAAAAAAAAAAAGAAAAGAAGAAGCAAACAAACAAATAGAAGCATATCTCTTGATGTGGAAGGAGATCAAAATATTCCCAATAAATACTTATGAGAAGAAGTAACTGATTTAAAATTTTCACTAATAGGGTTCGAAAAATGAAAATGTAATACGTGGAACTTGAATGTAAAACCTCAAGGAATTCTTGTGTTTAAGAAATTCAAAATCTCTCTAAATGTATACAAAAGATGATTTCTTTTTACCTTATATATAGTAAAATAAAATTGTCGGATAAATTCGAGTGAACACCCTAGCACCCCCTAAATCCTCCCCCGTAGTCGGCCCATTACAGTTAAAGTCCAGGTACAACAAAATGGGCTTCGATTAAGATGGAATAAAAGGAGTCCAGGCCCATGAGCCCAACAAACAAGCTATTTCTCCCTCATCGGCGCACAAAGAAGCTTTATTCTCTTATTATAGCTGAATATTAGCATGTGTGTTTGTCCCTTCGGGGACATCCGATAAAATTGGAACGATACAGAGAAGATTAGCATGGCCCCTGCGCAAGGATGACACGCACAAATCGAGAAATGGTCCAAATTTTTTTCTCAAACAAATCCCTTTTTCTGTTTAAGATTGTGTTGAGCTAACTTTTTCGGTGTGGAATCTTTGGTATGAAATTTTTTTATTTTTTTTCCCACTCCACCCAAGCAATAGTATTTCACTTATCCTTCAACATGACCTAAATTCTCAATCTATCGATTGACAGTGAAGCTGCTCAACCGCTAAAGCAAACCACACTTGTTTTGGCTTAGAAGATTGGGTCAAATGACAAAGATATGTGAAGTTAATGTTTACCAACATTTCAACACAAAAAAGTACTGTCTCAGTCTTAAAATAAGTGTTATTTTAGCGAAATTTTATACTACTCTATATTCTTGGTATACTAGCTTGGAGCATATTTTTATTTTTTTAAAAAATATATAATCATGGTATTTTTGTAAATTTGAGTAGAATTAGACCAATTTTTAGGGTATTTATCACCTCTCATTAACGTAAATATCGAGTAACTCTGTTTAAAAAAAAACAAAACAGATTTCTATAATTAAATAGAACACTAACTTGGTTTAGTTCCATAATAATTGATAGTAGTTTAAGAAGATTGCCAAACTTAATTCTATAATTCAATCATTTTCTTTCTTAATTATTAAAATTCTGATTAGCTTTGAATTGAACCTGCACCGTTCATTTAAAAAACCTCCAAAGTAGAAAACATTAATTAATATAAATAATGGGCTGTTCATACTAAACTTAAGCTCATAATATATTTATTTTACCAATAAAAATGGTCACATCTGATCTAAATATCTCACCAAATTTTATTATTGACCACTTGGTGTTACACCTATACACTTTCTCTATTAATTTAATTCGTGAATATTTCTATATTTTTAGAAGTCTTAAGAAAATGATTAAATGTAAACATCATGTTTTGTTTTCAAAGTACATGGTATCATTGTTTTATTGAGTAATAAGTATAATAATGGAGATTATTTGTCTCCTTAATTAGGTTGTCATTTTCAAGATTCTAGGCTTCTAGCTAATACATCTAATGAATTTTTGTGATAACGAGTAACTTAGAGCCTGTTTGAATCGAACTGAACAAGTCCAAAGTTTCAACAAAATATTAGTAATTCTATTATTGAGCTACTGATCTAATAGAGTTCAATTCCCGTTCTCGTTGCTAGTGATTAATGCAAATGCCACCTGTTATTCTAGCATTGATATGGTCTGATTTGTGAATATGACACTACTTTTGACATAAATATTGGCTGGTGATAGACCCCTTTCATGTCTGTTCTTAACTTTTGGGCCTCACAACTTACAGATGAGTCACATCCTGTTCCTTTTTAACTTGTGGTAGTAATTTTGTGCATATAGTAATCAATAATATTGAGTCACATGGATCACTGACCAAACCGATGACATATATCGTCCGCTTTAGCCCAACAGACCTTACATATTTGTCTTCTAGTTCCACCATCATCAAATTCTATATCTTATAAAGCTCTTCACTTTCCTCAAACATTTCAACGTGATATTCATCTAAGATGTCATGTACACTCCTTTACAAACGAGCCAGTCTAGGAGTCTTGTCAAGTCTAAGGTGTGTCATGTGCACCCAAACTAAAAAAAATTAAGAAATGCATTACAGATATGGTAGATCATTCGAATTTAAGGGAACCTATCGATGAAAACTTGAGCAACTACGGGGATTCCTTGGTTACAACAGCTACATATGTTTCAGAAACATTCTCAAACAAAGTACTGATTCAAAAGAGCAAAATGTTTAAATGTGTATTTAGTCTACCCCTCACCAAAGGATAGAAGCACGATCGCATGAAAATATAGTAGTATAAGAAATGTCATCAGAATATCAAGTTGCATCTTGTTTGAGCACAGGGAAAATTGCTGTAGTAGAGGTATCTCCAGGTCAGAATATCCATCACTTGCTCTCAGCATCATATAGATCTGTACTGAACAGCCAATTAAGGAAAACAAACGATCGCAGCTCCTGAACAAAGAAAAAAGAACAACATGCCCAATGTACTCTCATAGAGTGAGGTCTATGGAGGGTCGAATGCATGCAGACCTTACCCCCTACTTGGTTGTTTTCGGTAGACCTTCAGCTCAAGAAAGAAC